GCGAGAGCCAGAGACACCTAATAAACATTCTCTAAACTTAGGCCAATGACCCCCTTCCCTCCCCTCCCCCGCAAAGAAAACACCCCCCCCCCGCACAAAGAACACAAACACACAAAGAAACAAAACCCCCGCAAGAATCAAACGAACGCAGGCGGACGTCCAGCCGCAGCGCGGGGGCCCATCCGGTTTATTGCTCTGAATGCTGTGTCCGCTTACCCGCCGCGTGGGCAGGGGGCGGGCGTGGGCGTTCGGTGCCAGCCGCTCATGACCCTCAGAGACCAAGGATGGGTTCTGGAGACCCGAGTGGCTGAGCTGGAGGAGCTGAGGGAGACAGAGAGGGACCTAGACTTTCCCCCACCCCCGGTCTGACACCCTCTGTGCTGCGGAGGGGGATGAAAGTCTCGGGGAAGGAGAACATTCAGCTGGAGCAGAGGGAGACGATCCAGTCGCTGGGCCCCTCCTTCCAGATGATCATGGTGTCCTCTGACACCGAGGCTAGCCCTCCGGGGGAGGGGACCCCAGTTATTAGGAAGCGACGGGTAATACTCATGGGCGATTCGAGCGTCAGAAATATAGAGTCGGGTTTGCGATGACTGGGAGAACTGCATGGCGAATTGGCTGCTGGGTGCGAAGGTTGCGGACCTCTCGAGACGTCAGGACAGACTTACGTGCAGTGCTGGGGAGGAGCCGGTGGTCGTGGTACAGGTAGGTACCAATGACATAGGGAGGGGTAGGAGAGACGTCCTGGAGGCCAAATGTAGGCTGCTAGGGAAGAGATTGAAGTCCAGGTCCTCCATGGGAGCATTCTCTGAACTGCTCCTGGTTCCACGTGCAGGGCCAGTTAGACAGAACTGCAGGGTCTCCATGCGTGGATGAGACGATGGCGTAGGGAGGAGGGGTTTAGGTATATAGGGAACTGGGGAACCTTTTGGGAAAGGAGGCACCTGTACAGGAAGGATGGGCTCCACCTAAACCAAACCGGAGCCAGATTCCTGGCATGTCAAATTAAAAACTACCTGAAGGGGGGCTCCAAAGAGGATGGAGCTCGGCTGTTCTCAGTGGTGGCAGATGACAGAACAAGGAGTAACGGTCTCAAGTTGCAGTGCGGGAGGTCTAGGTTGGATATTAGGAAACGCTATTTCCCTAGGAGGGTGGTGAAGCACTGGAATGGGTTCCCTGGGGAGGTGGTGGAATCTCCTTCCTAAGGGTATGTCTACACTACAGGATTAATCCGAATTTAGATAATTCGAATTTGGGAAACAGGTTGTATAAATTCGATTGTGCGCGGCCACACTAAGCACCTTAATTCGGTTTTTAACCACATTAATTCGGTGGTGTGCGGCCACACTACCCCATTAACTTAAACACAGTAATTCGGTGGTGTGCGGCCACACTAACCCTAATTCGAATTAACAAAATCGATTTAGGCTCTACTCCGTTCGTCGAGGTGGAGTACAGAAATCGATTTAAAGGGCCCTTTAATTCGAATTAACTGGCTCTGTAGTGTGGACGGGTGAAGGGTTAATTCGGATTAACGCTGCTAAATCCGAATTAATCCCGTAGTGTAGACCAGGCCTTAGAGGTTTTTAAGGCCCGGCTTGACAAAGCCCTGGCTGGGATAATTTAGTTGGGGTTGGTCCTGCATTGAGCAGGGGGTTGGACTAGATGACCTCCTGAGGTCCCTTCCAACCCTGATATTCTCTGAGTCTAGAGGAGTTTTAACGCTAAGGGCCAACGGATGCGGAGGTGCACGTGGTTTGGATGGACACACCCTTAGGGGAGAGTCTATGAAAAGGGAATCTCTCTCTCCTAGTACAGAGGAGAGGATAGACGTCGATAAAGTCCAGGTAGGAACTGAAGACAAACAGTCAAACGTGAGAGTCCCCTTTGATTACCCCACAGGAAGGCAGGCAACTAACTATCGACCCATCTGATCAATGCAAGGAGTCTAAATACTGAGATGGGTGAACTTGAGTGCCTGGCATTGTGAGGTGATTGATGTACCAGAAACTTGGTGGATTGATGATAATCCATGCGGCATGGGAAGACCGATTAAAACTATCTCAGAATGACAGAGTGGGGGGCGCTGGTGTGACAGGGGGCGGCGCTACACGTGAAAGAAAACATCGAGTCATATAGTAAATGAATCAAAGTGTCCCATCGAATCTATATTGATAGCAATTCCGTGCTTGAATAACAAGCGTACAGCTGCAGGAATATACGACTGACCACCTGACCAGGAGGGTGATAGTGACACAGGGAGATTAGAGAGGCTACAAAACCAGAAAACCCAATAATAATGGGGGATTTCAGCTAGCCCCAGACTGACTGGGCACATGCTACCTCAGGCCCGGATGCAGAGATAAAATTTCTAGACACCCTAAATGACGACTTCTTGGAGCAGCTGGTCCTGGGACCCACAAGGGGAGAGGCGATTCTTGATTTAGTCCTAAGTGGTGCACAGGATCTGGTCCAAGAGGTGACTGTAGCTAAACGGCTCAGTAATAACGACCAAATGTAATTAAATTTCAGATCCTTGTAGGGGGGAACACACGAAACTAAAAAGCACCCCAGTATTTAACTTCAAAAAGGGGAATGACACAAAAACGAGGAGGCTAATTAAATGGAAATGAAAAGGAACAGTCGTCAGGGTGAAACGCCTGCAAGCTGCATGCAAACTTTAAAAAAAACAACACAACTCACCATAAAGGAGGCTAAAACTGTATATATACCTCAGATTTAAAAAACCACACACACACACACAGAGAAAGAGGACACACACACACACACACACAAACACAAAAAGAAAAACAAAAAAAAAAACCAACATAAAAAATGCTGCCCCCCACGGTTAAACAACAGAGTCAGGGAGGCGATTAGAGACAAAGAGACATCTTTTAAAAATTGGACGTCAAATGCTCCTGAGGAAAAGAGAAAGGAACGTAAACTCTGTGTCAAGTCAAGTGTAAAAGTATAATTAGGCAGGCCAAAAAAGAATTTGAACAGCAACTAGCAAAAGACACAAAACCTAAAAATAAAATAAAAATGTTTGCTGTAAGTACATCAGAAGGAGGAAGCTTGGACAATCGAGGTGCTAAAGGGGCACTCAAGGAAAACGAGACTCTTGTGGAAAAGCTAAATGAATTCTTTCCATCGTTTTTTGCTGCAGAGGGTGCGGGGGAGATTCCCACACCTGAGCCGTTCTTTTAAGGTGACAAACCTGAGGAACTGTCCCAGATTGACATGCCAATAGAGGTGGTTTTGGAACAATTCAATACATTAGACAGCAATAGGTCTGGATGGTATCACCCATGAATTCGTAAGGAAGTCAAATCGGAAACTGCAGATCCTCTCGCTTAAATCAGTCTCTGTACCAGATGACTGGCAGATAGCTATTGTAACACTGATTTTAAAAAGTGGCTCCAGAGGCGATCCTGGCAATTACAGGCCGATAAGCCTCACTTCAGTACCAGGCAAATTGGTTAAAACTCTAGTAAAGAACAAAATGATCAGACACACGGATGAACATGATATGGTGGGGAAGGGTCAACACAGCTTTTGTAAGAGGAAATCACGCCTCACCAATCTACTAGAATTCTTTGAGGGGGGGGGTCAACCCACGTGGACCAGGGAGATCCAGTGGATATGGTGTACTTAGACTTTCAGAAAGCCTTTGACAAGGTCCCTCACCAAAGGCTCTTAAGCAAAGTAGTCAGTCATGGGGGTAAGAGGGAAGGTCCTCTCATGGATCAGTAACTGGTTAAAAGATGGGAAATAGGAGGTAGAAATAAAGAGTCAGTTTTCACAGTGGAGAGAGGTAAATAGCGGGGGCCCCCAAGGATCTGTACCGGGACCAGTGCTGCTTAACATACTTATAAATGAACAGGAAAAACGGGTGGCAAAGTTTGAAGACCAGACAAAACTACTCATGATAGTTAAAGTCCCAAGCAGACTGCGAAAAGCTACAAAAGGATCTCACAAAGCTGGGTGACTGGGCAAGAAAATGGCAGATGAAATTCAATGTTGATAAATGCAAAGTAACGCACGTTGGAAAACAGAATCCCAACGCCGCATCCAAAATGATGGGGTCTAAATTAGCTGTTACCACTCAAGGAAGATCTTGGCGTCATTGTGGAGAGTTCTCTGAAAACATCCACTCAATGTGCAGCGGCAGTGAAAAAAAGCGAACAGTGTTGGGAACCGTTAAGAAAGGGAGAGATAATAAGACAGAAAAGATCATATTGCCACCCTATAAATCCACGCTACGCCCACCCCTTGAATACTGCGTGCAGTTCTGGTCACCCCATCTCGAAAAAGGATAGATTAGAATTGGAAACTGTACAGAGAAGGACCACAAAAATGATCAGGGGCACGGAACGGCTTCCGTGTGAGGAGAGATTAAACAGACGGGGACAGCTCCGCTTAGAAAAGAGACGGCTCAGGGGGGATAGGATCGAGATCTGTACAATCGTGACTGGCGTGGCGAAAGGGAACTGGGAAGTGTTATTTACGCCTTCACATAACACAAGAACCAGGCGTCATCCAATGAAATGAACAGGCGGCCGGTTTCAAACAAACATAAGGCAGTATTTCTTCACACAGCGCACCGGCAACCTGTGGAACTTGCTGCCGGCAGACGTCAAGGCCAAAAGTATAACAAAGTTCAAGAAAGAATTAGATAAATTCATGGCTATTGGCCAGGGAGGCAACCCCATGCACTGGGTGTCCCTAGACCTCTGTTTGCCAGAAGCTGGGAACGGGCGACAGGGGATGGATCACTTGACGATTCCCTGTTCTGTTCATTTCCTCTGGGGCACCTGGCACTGGTCACTGTCAGAAGACAGGATCCTGGGCTAGATGGACCAGGGGTCGGATCCATTCTGGCCGTCCTTATGTGTGAACAACGATTTTCAGAGCCTAATAACTTGGCCGAGTTGGATGGATTTTCCCAGGAACACCACACTTCGGAGCATTTGGCTGGGGTGGGGGAAGCAGTTGCCCTGGGGCCAGGAAAGTGCCTTTTGCCGTTGCTGTGAGAACCTGGCCCAAGCTGGTGTGGTGAGGAACGAAGGGATGAGAGAAGTCTGCAGAGGGCTTTGGAATAAGGGGAGCGGAGAGGGGTACAAGTGGGAAGGGAACAGGGGCATGACCTTGGGCGGTGGGTTAGGAGCAGAAGGGAACAGGGAGAGCTGGGGAGAACTCGGGCAGAAGGGTTTGTAACCACTGGAGCATGCTCCCCTCCAGCCCTGAGTCCCCACATTCCCAAGTGGCTGTGAATGCCCCTGGCCACGTGTGTGTCTCCGTCACCCTCTGGTGACTCGGCCCACGTAGAGGATAACAGCTTTCTAGTGCTACCAGTCACTTGGTCAGCTCAAGTGCAGAGGCACGTGGGGCGGCTCTGAAGGTCTGCTGGTGGCCTCCCGGGGGATGGTCCGTGGGGCGACACACGAGGAAATTTCTGGTTTACAAACGGGGCACCCGAAATCAGCGGGTGCTTTGGCACATTTTGGTGTCAGGGCCACCCGGGGGTGGGGGAGGCAGGCAAGTGGGGCAATTTGCTCCAGGTCCCATGAGAAGATAGTATTCTATAGTATTGCAACTTTTTTTTATGGAAGGGGCCCCCGAAATTGCTTTGCCCCAGGCCCCCTGAATCCTCTGGGCGGCCCTGTTTGGTGTTTCGCCGCTCCCCGTCTGCAAAATGGGGC